AAGTGTTTATTAAGTTTGAAATATGGATATTTTTCTTACAAAAATGCATAGATTCACTACAGGAGGACTTTATTCACCTCTCGGAGCCGTGTGAGGCACGTTTTTATTATGGATGCGCACACTTTATTTAACGTCTCTTGGACTGTTGAACAAAAACACTTGCCGACTGCAATGATAGAGCATAGAAGTGCCAGGACAATTTTTAATATAACTCCGATTGGATTCGTCTGAAATAAGAAAGTCATATACACCTAGGATGCCTCGAAGGTGAGTAAAACACAGGCTAATTTTTATTTTTGGGTGAACTAACCCTTTAAGTTCTTTTGCATATTGTATTTATTTTAGTGTCAATGACAATGATTTGAATGAAAAACATAATAAAGGAGGATGCCACAGAAAACACACATGCTAAACTAAAAGAGTATTAGAAGATAATCTTCATAAACTAAAACATATTCAATAAGAATAAACAAGTATTTACTAAGAATCCCATTTATTCAAAATTCTTACCCCTGCAAGGTGTGGGTTGGGGTTGAAGCCGCACTGGTTGCACACTGTAGTGTGGCACTGTGTACACTTGTTGAAGTTTGGTGACCCATCAAAATTTGTCAACTCTGTAGTATTGCAAACTGGACAGAGCTTACTGCTTGGCATCGGTGCAATCTGGGGTACTGAGTATGGTGAAGTTGGTGCACTAGCTCTATCGGGAGACACTGACGGTGAGCGGCCTGTTCGACCACTACTGCTGCTGAAGTCCACCTGGAGGTTGCGTCTGGAGGCATGTTGTCCAGGGCTTTGGTTGGGTCCCATGCCCCCTGATGAAGCTTGAATTTGAGATTGATGTGTAGAAGAAGTCTGGGAATGTCTAGGTCCATCATGGACTGGCTTTTTGTAAGGGTTTCCACTTGCTTTAATGCCGCCCATGCCAAAGTCACCACCTGGCCCTCGATCACTACCGGTTCCATAGCCTAGTTTTGGGCTTGATGGTGGGCCTCCCCCTCCAGCCAGCCTGAATAAAGCAAAAAGAGCAGGAGAGAATGAGAACGTCTGATTATTCTTTGTCACAACCTTTACCTTTTTAACTAGCCTGCTCTTAACACGAAACTCATTTAAGTATCGTTTGGAGTGGGCCATGTCATTAAAAAGCTCAGTTCAGTTATCAATATACATTACACTTACACTGAGTCATTCAACAGACAGTTTTATCCAATCCAGTGCACAAATAAAGGACACCACAAGTAATTTATCATAGCGTTTATCATAGAGGTACCGACAATATTCACAGTACCACAATACCAAGTTTCAGGAAAAAGGCAGTTTTTCAAAAGCTAGAGCAGAACATAACTTCAGGATGATTTTGAAGAGTTTAAACAGTTTTGGCCAGCGTATTTGATCATTTAATTAGCAATTAAAGGGGTCATATGACGATGCTAAAAATAGCATTATTTGGTGTATTTGGTGTAATGCAATGAGTTTACGTGGTTTAAGGTTAACCCTTTAGGCGCCAGGGATTTTTGGGAAAAATGCTGGATTTTGACATCAAGATTTCAAAAGCTTGGCTTAAAGATAGAGATCTACTGTAAATTAGAAAAATGTTGGGCATGACCGAAAGTTTATGTGGGGTGTAAATATACTCGTCTAATTTGCATATTATGACGTCATCAG